TAGATGAAAATTTTTCAGAGCTGCCTTCATCAAATTCGCTTGCAAAAATAAATGTAATTAGTAATGTTTTGATTAAACCTTCTGTTTCGAATATAACTTCAGCTAAAAGAAAGCTAGATTTTTTAATGATAGAATTGAATGTGTTGAGGAACCTTTAATAAAGAAACCACGTGTAAGAACTGGTATTTTGAATCAAATTAATGCAACTAGAATTGGTAATTTAACTCCTAGAAAGAGAAAATTTTATTATATTAATCGAGAGCAGCGAAACAAAATTTCAAGATTAAAAAATAGTTTATTAAATCTAAAAATACAATTAAGACTGCTTTAAAATTATCAGAAACAAATTTATTTAAAAATTTTAGTTTAATTTTAATATACACACTGCGCCTTTATTTTTTTTTTTTTGTTTTAGTTATTCCTGAGTATGGAGATTTTTGGAATGGATATTGCAACTACAATGAACCGAAATAGATGGGTGAAGGGATAGTAAAGTGGTTTAGTGTCAGAGTTACCTAACCAACAAAATTTCAAAACAACTGGTCTTTGTTATTGTTTTAAAATCAATTCTATACATGCCTATTCCTTAAAATTATGTAGTTCATGACAAAATTAAATACTTATTTGACAAGTGACTATTTTTAAATTTTTCTTAAACTTTGATCTCAACTTAATTAATTATTTTTTAGCAACTCTGGCACTGGAACACCCAATAGAGCTTAAGAATAATAAAAAAATTTTCATGTAGTAAACTCAATTTATTTTTAATGTGTACTTTTTGTGATAATGTGTAATTTTGTGATATTAGGTAATTTTATAGATATAAAATAATAATATTAATAACAATAATAATCGTGATTAGTGTAAACGTATATTTTTAAATTAACTTCAACCCTTGAACATTTTTCAACATATTGTGAATATGTTTAATATAATGTAATGATATAGTTACCTATTCTAAATAAAATAAACTTATTACAAATGTTTTTATTTTTCATTTAAAACAAGTGACATTTTCCGTTTTTCAGCATTTACTTACAATAAAAATTCATTTTACTTATTGATTGTTTCAATTATTGTAAGTAAAAGCTGTAAAATAGGAAAATGTTACTTGAAATTACTTCAAATTTCATAAATTTTAAAGCCCGCCATTTTTTAAATCGCTTTACCTAGTAGTTTTCTACTTTACCGACTGTACCGAATTATAGTTCATCATAACGCGCTCAGCGCGCCACTGTCGAGGTCAAACAAACTTGTTACCAACTATTTACAGGGGAACTGGCTACCCTGGGTACGCCTATGGAAATTTTGGATACACGCTAATAGGCTCAAAAGATATTTAATTAGGATATTAGCACACTGTAAGCATTTCATTAAAATTAGTTAACATTTGTTTTATTTTTAATTTTAGCACCCTATATCTCGAAAATGAAGCATTTTCGTGATTATAAACAGAAAAACATAATAACGGATCATCAATTAGGTGTAACGTGCATATTTGACAGTTCGAAATACCAGATATTAAATTCAAATTAATTTCGATTTACTTTCTGTCTAGTGAACAAAGAAAGGTTAAACGTTTTAGATTGATGATAAATATAAGTTTTTGAAGTTATTTTTTTTAAGTCTGATGGTATTTGTTGACAACATTCTGTCTTGATTCTAGTATTTATTGTTTAGTTCTTATTATCAATAGACGGGAGCATGGTAATTTGATCGTAGTACCTAAGTTCTACAATGATTGACTAGTTATTCTACCCTAATTGCTATAGTTTTGGACCAAACGGGTTATATTTCAATTTTGTAAATTCATCTAAAATAGATCATTGCATCGTTAGGAGTTTTCTAATATGTTTAGCCTGTTACCTCGAGAAAATTAATTATTAACGAGCCAATAACAACGAATTTGTTTTCTTTTTGTTTTAATTAATTAATCATTTTTATATTTGTTAATGTTATTGTTATAGCTGTCAAACATGTTAATCTACGAATAGCTTATTTTTGATGTGAAGTTAGGTATTGGCCAAGTACAATAAATGATTTCAAAATTTAGCTAATTAAGCAATAAGTGTCTTGAGTTGGGTATTGACCATAATTACTTCGTGATCTAAAGGTTTCGGTCAACATTTCATTCTTTCGATTTCTTCTTTATTATTAATAAGACTAAGACCCAACCAGAAAATGCACAACTCCCAGAATGGTACGTAACAGAACATTTTACAATAAAAGAGAGAGTTAAAATAAACTAAATCAAGAGTATCACAAGGGAGTGTCCTTAATCTTCTCTTGTACCTAATCTAGAATTCACTAATAATTCAAAATAGCATACCCATTACAATAAATCCATAAATCCCAGAAAACCATAATATAAAAACATGCTAATGAAAATATGGTATCCAGGAATGAATTAAGATTAAAAGTGGAAAGATCACATCAATAAGAAAGTAAAATAGTTATATGGAAATTAAAAACAGGTACTGGTTAATGGGCATTATTTAGTGCAATACACAACAAATAGCTCATCTATAATTACCATGGATATGGATAGCATGCATGGCTTTTAAAATAAAATACATTCTGTAATACTTGCCATTATTAATAGTGAAAATTTTGCACCTCTATTTTATAGCTGATCAAATGCTGTTATTTTAAAATGTTTCCATAACAACCAGAAAAAATGTCCGGAAATGTTTCTCCTGGTGGGTACTCTGCACCAAATTACATTGGAATTTTTTTTTTTGACATTTGAGAAGCTCTTTTATGCACATAATATTAAGACGCGCGCAACGGTGTGATTAAAAAATATGCCATTTGAATTGTTAAAATTTTATTTATTATCGATTATTTTAAAATTCCCTAAAATCAATTACACGACTTCTGGTCGTTAGTATGAAAGATAAAGACGTTAGAAATATATGTGTTGTATGTAAGTATTTAAAGTCTGTCAAATATGTGTCAAAAATGCAAAAATATTAGAAAAAAATGCACTTATACCCTTTAAATTTCAACTTAATTTATTAATGTGGGCAAATACAAAATAGAACTATTTAGAAAAGTAAGTTATTTTTATAAAAAAAGTAGTTTTAATAATTTTCATAGTTAAGATTCAATGACGTCATCATCTAGCTCTATTTCTTCGAATGGAGTTGATGATTTAGGATGCGGTGAAATACACTCGTTTAAAAGATTTTCTAGTATAAAATTTTAGTTATATGCGCGCCACTGGAAATACTTCACGATATTATGTGTCTCGAGAATATTGAGAGATTTAAATGTGTGCAACGATACGATAAGGCAGTACTCTATAGGGATTTTTTAAGGAAAAAGGTGGGAAATCCTCCTATTTAAAAACTACTAGATATTTATTAAAACAAAAAGCAACAACTTTTTAATACAGAATGGCGCGTAATTTTTTTTATTCCTTTTAATTTTTTTTAAATAAATACCTTTCAAATGTTTATAAAAAAATTCAGGTTTCTCCACCCTAAGTTTTGTTATTATTGGTATTTCTTGAAAATTTCACAAAAATCGGACTGAAAATAAAGGCTCAGAAGGAAAATTGACATAAACATGTTAGAATTAAAGCGTACCTATCCAAAATAAAGAATACTTTGAGTTTACAAATTTGTGCTTAACTCAGAAAATGAAAAAAGTGCACTTATACCTCTTCAATTCCAAACCCCTCAATTATAGATAAAAATACACTACATTTATTTTAAGTAAAATAATTATTAGGGTTTTCAAATATGACTAATATGCATAACTGGCATGGTAAATATTGCAAATTTGATTTTAGTCGTTTTAATGCATCTCTGTCAAGTTTTGAAACTTTGATATTTCGCTGTAAAATTTTCTTACCGAATTCAACACATGCCAAAATTATTGTCTGGAAATGTTTGTTCACTATCAAATAATTTAAGAAAATTATCCCTCTTCTTCGAATCGCGATAAATTTTAAAATATTCGTGAGTTCGAAAAAATTTCTGGAAATAATTTAGGCACTAGTGGTATTATAAGTGAAAATTTAAAATTCCACAAAAATTATGTAGCTACATTTAAAGGAAATTGCTGTTTTTCCCTTACATTTTTTAACAAATTCCTTCAAGTAAAGCAAACTGTGAATACAACACTGGTTTTAATACTTTTTATTGACTTAAAACTCTCTTTAATCTTGTAAATCCATAGTATAACTTTTACAACAGAATTATTGTAACCGTAGTAAAGCACTGTTACTCGAGAAAAATTTACCACAGCCTTTGCAGGGTGTAATTTTTATTTTATAGAACAAATTTAAACATGGCGGTTGCACGTCTTTTTAAGAAACAAGCAAAAGTAAACAAAATGCTGTTTGTTTAAATAAGAATTGAATTCTGAAGTTCGGGTGACGCGAAGCCAGGCTGGATGGCATCTTCGCGTTGCTTGGTTTTCTAACCAATCGTCTGTAAGGACGCGTTCACATGAAAGCTTCTATTAGCAATTTACCTTTGTGACGAAAAATGACGTAATGTCTTCGAGTTTTTTCTATAAGTGCCAGGAACAGACTAGGTTCTGTGTTTTAATTCAAATATATGTTGTTGTGTGTTTTAATTTAAATATATGTTGAATTTTTACTCAACAACATTTATAAATTTGTTTTACAAATAATTTAATTAAAAGTAACGTTTAATTATAAACTAAACATTCAGGTTATAGGGTGAAAATATTTTAATGAATCCGGAAATATTAACAGGTAATAAATATTACATACACTCTGTCAAACAAACATATACAGGTATAAAAAGAGAGTTTACGTTAGGTAAATTAGTTGACCATAGGCCAGATATGAAAGAGATATTCTATGCATTTGCCAAGCCCAGGCGAAACCAAATCCCTTAAGGCAACGTAATCAGAAATATGCACTTAAATAAAATATAAGGCATTAGCGGATACAAAATGCCTCCGGAAAAAATAATTTAAAGGAGATGTGAACTCTAAACCAAAATATAATATTATGTACTTACGTGTAGCTTTCCTCTGCAGATAGCTTCTACCAATCTTCTACCGCTTCCGTGGAACGGTAACGTTCCCGACAACAGAATGTGGAGTAAAACACCCGCCGCCCATATGTCAATCGGTTTACCGTACTGTCGCCTCTCCACAACTTCTGGTGCCATGAAATGGGGACAGCCCACCCTTCCTAAAAAAGATCGTAGAATTATTAATTTTATACAAAATTAATCATTATTATTTTAAAGTAAGGTAAGGTGTGTGATTTTGTTCTAACTTTTTTTATACAGGGCGATTCATAACTTGTCATACATCAATAGAGTGTCACTTTTAAAGTCTTCATCTATACAAAATTTCTTTATATTTATATATTTATAAATTTATGGGACATTTAATAGATAAAACTAAATAATCATGAAACAAAATACTTCATTTTTTTTTGCAACTACTAAAACAATTTACAAACATATACCTCGTATGCTGTAAGAACAGGCCAGGTACATCGTCAACCTTTTGACTGGATACACCCAACCGAGGGGGAAATCACTAAGGTCAAAACGAATCCATATTTCGAAAATCACCTAAAAAATGTTTATGTGATTTCGGTGATTTCGCTGAAAATCCATCTTAATTTTACACACTTTACACAAACACCAACTAGGCCTGGGTAAACTATACGTCAACTAACACTCAAATTAAATGGTAAATCATAAAAAATATAACGACGGTGAGACCTGAAAAGTTTGTAACTCACACTTTAATGAATTTTAATAAATGTAATCTTTTAGCTAGACAGCAGATGATAGAACTTTGCCTTCTTTTCCTGCAGTAATTGTTCCAAATTAGAGATATACGTAACAACACAATTTTGTTAAAGAATAAAAAGTGTATCACCGCTAGTTTGCACAGTTGATTCATAAGGACCTGCTTTTGTTAAATTTCTTGAAATAAAGTTGCCCAATTTTTGAGTTTCACAGGCGATAATTATAGTAAACAAATGCAAGCGTATATTTTTTGCCGTTTGTAGAATAATAGCAACTGTGGTGATCCATCAATTCAATGGGCAGTGGGCAAGCTCTATTAATGACCTACCTGTCCTGTTCTTAGAGCAAACGAATTCTATTACTACTTTACTTTTTTATAAAAATTGTCAGTCCTACTGACTAAATGACGCTTATGCTTTCATTTACTAAAAAACTAAGAGAAAATAAAAATTTTAAACATTATAAACAGCTAGGTTCTAGCTCTCTCCAGCACTAAGTTCTCTATATCAGGTGTCTCATAGGTTTCTGTCCTGCTCACATCTATTTAATCTCAAACTGTAGTGTACACACTAATATGTAAAGGAAGGATGAATTAACAGGTACTTTCAAGTGTGAATTTATTGGTGAATTCATCAAGCGCTTACAGCTGACGTTAATATGAAAGGTATTATAGTCTAAAATTAATTATAGAATATTAATTGTTAAGCGCCAGACCAATCACAGTATAGTAGAACTATGCAAAAAATAGGTGATAGGTGGAACTGGTTTCCACAAAGACGGAGTTACAGTTTTTCACTTTTTTGTTGGTTTTTTCTTTTATTGAGAATGGTAACAAAATCTTTAAAAGACATTAGACTTCTAATAGTGTAGGATTTCTACCGACTAAAAAACTTCTACTTTGTTTCACAGGAATGTCTCCTCGGAATAACCAGTCGGCATAACTTCGAAGAGACGTGATGTAAGGATGGTCGTGGGTACTTCTCAACAAGTTGTTAGGGTATGCTCATATATGTCTTCTTCTAAATCTCTCTCCTTTTGTCCCAGTATCTTTTTCATCATGTTACCTACCTGTTGTCATTGCTCTATGTTACTGGTCATGACGTCTAAAATGTTTTCTTTAGAGAGCCTAATTCCAATACGTTCTTATAGCTCTAACCTGATCTCTCTTCATTATCCGCATTGAAACAGGGTATGCTCTACTGTATCCACATTCGGACAGCACACACAATCTTGTTGCTCAGTCACACCTAATCTATTCAGGTATTCCATAAACCAGCCGTGACCAGTTAAAATAGGGACGTCTTTAATTGTAAACGTAATTGGTCTACTCAGTTCTTTCCTACCAATTAGTAACACCGCCTCTGTTTTTTCCGGTGCAAATTTAGGTGTTGGTAGATTACGTGTACATAGAGCTACTGTATGTTGGTGCGATCCAAATAAGTCGACAAAGCCCAAATTATATTCATACTCGGTGTTCGACCGACAACGCTCTACCCCAGAGAGCTATCGTTGATGAATTTTCATATAGAAACATAAACCCTTGAGGGGCTTAGTTACCGAGATACAGGGTGTTAAAAGTTGGTAATCAAAATTCAAAATTTTACATAAATCAAAAACGCCTTCAAATATTTTTTCAAATTTGTTCTTTATTATTTTTATATTAAATTACTTTTTAAAAATTTATCCAGTGGCAACTTTTTCCAACTTTTTTTACGCCACTGAATCAAATATTTTTTTTTATTTTTCAATTATTTTTTTAAATTATCTGTTCATTTTTAGTGAAAAAAAAAAAGTAAAAATTTATGAAGTTAAAATTAACGGTGGAAATTTGCTTCTAACCAAAAGTCTACATGTACTTAGATAATTTGTAACGACTCAATATTTCTAAATTATACTCTAGTAAGCACGTGTCAAATTTTTATTAGTTCGTGTATTTGACAAGATCTTCGTAGATCAAATTTAACAAAAAATATTTAAAGGCGTTTTTAATTTATGACACATTTTAAATTTTGATTTAAAACTTTTAACACCATGTATCTCGGAAACTAGCTGTTTAAGGGTTCATGTTCCTATATCAAAATGCATCAATGAACGAGATCTCTCTGTAGTAAAGCGTTATCGGTCGAATATACACTCTGTATGTCATAGTGCTTCGCTTGTCTGTGTTGAAAGTACATTTTCATTTTTCTAATAACTCAAAAACGCTTCGTTCGATTTAAAATATAAATTGTATGCAGATATGTAGATTATTTAATTGAAGACCAATTGCACAAAGCAAAAATTACACCAACTAAAACCATGGAAGGATAAAAACCACCCCAATTCAACCGTACATGCCATCGAATTTTTTTTAGGGCCACGCCGGCCCCCACTTTTTTTATGGAATGCTACAATCATTGGTAACTTTTTATTGTCTCTTGCAAAAAAACATGTATCGCTCATGGTATTTAAGTAAAAAAAATTATTGACTAATTGCTAGTAACTTCAAAATTTTCAAGAAAACTAAGTTCGCAACCCGAACACTGTCGCTTTTAAAATTATTACAATAAAAAAATCCTAAATAGGCATAGCTATCTACTTAAAAATAACAATCCAAACAAACGGATACATTTTTATGTTCAAAATAGCCGCCACATATTTGTTTAGATTTCAATTCTACGCAAGAAATTGTATAGTATAATATTCTCAAAATACTTAGATCATTCTACATAGAGTTCAAAGCATTTTTGAATCCTACCCCACAATTGTTCAATGTTGTCGATAGGAACTTCATACACTTTGGTTATTAAGTAACCCCAGGTAAAATAAGGTTACAGTCCGGTGATCGAGGTGACCACTCAATAGAACCATTCGGACCTCTGCCAATCCACCTTTCAGGGTATTGTTCGTTTAAATAATCTCTCGCAATGCTGGAAAAATCGTGTGTGAAAAAATGCGTAAATTATGCAGTAAGTCTTCTTATAGTTAAGGAAATCTTGACGTAGAAAATTCAAATACCTAACTGTCATCATTAACCCCTTAGGTGGGTCAACTTATTGATTCATTTATAGGGATTATCACCGGTATCTCTCGCATTTTATTCATGATTCATTTCTTAAAACTCAAAAAATAATGAACGAATATCAAATTTTTCCCTACAAAAGAACATGAAAACTTGCCTGAAATGACATTCCGGTGACAATCTCCGGCGAGTCGCCAGCTTTTTGGGCTTTCGCCGGCGGATCGCCAGCGAATCGCTGGCGATACGCCGAAATGAATCTCTGGCGAGTCGCTGGCGATCGACTATGCTTCTTTACAAGAACTTTGAAGCTAAATCAAAGAACGTAAAATGAGTGGTATCAAAAATTTTGTAGTTTAATTTTTTTTTATTGTAATAACGTTAAAAGCGACAGTGTTCGGGTTGCGTTAATTACAATCGCTAACTTAGTATTCTTGAAAATTTTGAAGTTACTAACCATATTAGTCAATAAATTTGTTTTACTAGAAGATACATTTTTTTCCAAGAGACAAAAGCTACTAGTGAATGTAGCCTTCCATAAAAAAAACGATGACATTTATGGTAGGATTAGGGTAGTTTTTACTTTTCCATGATTTCAGTTTACGATTCGTAGACATCACGGTGGCTAAGGAAGGCTGTGACGTCACGGAATGCAAATACGAATTGACAGAAAATATTCTGCTGCGGTTCGTACATTGGTTTTTAAAAAAATTTTTATATTTTATTAACATTTAGTGATGTTTTTATTTTTATTTTTGGACTATACACCTGTGTTGAAGTTTTTATAAAATCGGTATTTTGATTTTTTGTAAGACAAGCCACAAAACGGCATAAAAAATCAAATATCAAATTAATTACTTTTTATTTGAATCATAAAGAAAAATATTATTGTATGAATGGTTTAATTTAAACATTTTGGATAAGGATAAGACCTCCTTGCTAAATTAGGATCACTCTTTGTTTATATCCTAAAATATTTTGAAATATTGGCAAGTCTGGAGTGAGCCGTAGTTTTGTTGTTGGCAAACAATTTTTACTGTTTACGTTTACACACAAAATCGTTAGAATAAATAAAGGAACCGAGCCTAAACTGAAATTAGAGACTAATGGTAAGATTTTAGAGTAATTATTCTGCAAATATCATTCACTATTTTTAATTTAATTGCAGCTTTGTCCATCCTACATTTTAAAGCAGATGAGATGGTTTCTTAAACAAAAACAACTGAGAGATAAAAAACATACATTTTTGAAAAAAGTGTTTGGTACAGGAAGTTTTTAGTAAAAAGTACATAGTTACAAATCATTTTAATGAAGAAAACAAGGGCCGTATAGAAGTTTGTAAAGCATTCATGAGAAGATAACTATTTGAGTAAAATGTGCTATCTTTACCTCAGAAATACTCTTAAGTATCCCTTGCTGGGGATTTCA